CATACACCACACCACAGCACACTCCGCTCAACATCACTCCATACACCACACCACTCCATACACCACACCACTCCATACACCACACCACACTCCGCTCCACATCACTCCATACACCACACCACACCACACTCCGCTCCACATCACTACATACACCACACCACTCCATACACCACACCACACTCCGCCCCACATCACTCCATACACCACACCACACCACATTCCGCTCAACATCACTCCATACACCACATCACTTCATACACCACACCATGCCATACACCACATCACTCCATACACCACACCACACTCCGCTCCACATCACTACATACACCACACCACTCCATACACCACACCATACTCCGCTCCACATCACTCCATACACCACACCACACTCCGCTCCACATCACTCCATACACCACACCACACTCCGCTCCACATCACTACATACATCACACCACTCCATACACCACACCACTACACACCACACTCCGCTCCACATCACTCCATACACCACACCACGCCAGACACTGAACCAAATATTTCTATTTTTATGATTTTAAACAACCTGTTGGTATTTTCAGCTTTTGATATAACTGGCCATGTTTCCAACACACGTCAATATATCTGGTCACAGAGTGAGAAACGATACGGTAAGTTGACATATTAATATCATCTTCCAACATACCGCGACAAATCTGGCCCTAGACGTTCGTCGGATATACGGATGACCTACCTTAACCTGCCGATACCCTTTCCGTATAATACGTCTGAAAAACAGGTAAGGCCAGATTCTGTTTACTTGAAACATACTTTACTAAAAAAACCAAAAAAAAACATTTTACTGACATGTAATAAAATGATAAAGGGGAACATAATGTTACAAGAGGATTAAAGTCGTTTACTTCGTGAAAACACCTCGCAGCCCTTTTCCCTACTGAAGTTTGACTAGTAGAGATCTTCAGACAACTGATCTATTTCAGCCTGTATCCCTACTGAAGTTTGACAAGTAGAGATCTTAAGATAACTGATCTATATCAGCCTGTATCCCAACTGAAGTTTGACAAGTAGAGATCTTCAGACAACTGATCTATATCAGCCTGTATCCCTACTGAAGTTGGACAAGTAGAGATCTTCAGACAACTGATCTATATCAGCCTGTATCCCTACTGAAGTTGGACAAGTAGAGATCTTCAGAAAACTGATCTATATCAGCCTGTATCCCTACTGAAGTTTGACTAGTAGAGATCTTCAGACAACTGATCTATATCAGCCTGTATCCCTACTGAAGTTTGACTAGTAGAGATCTTCAGACAACTGATCTATTTCTAATTCCTAATTAGTTACTTAATCATTACTTTATATTTTGGTGTATAGCTTTCACATATTTGAGTAAATAGAATTTTTCAACCTACAAAACAGGTGGAATGTCCCTTTAAACAAAAGTGCTTTGAGGCATTTAGGATTCTACAGCGTTTGTTTTTTGATTTGTGTAAACTTAATAGGTGATAATTACTATATATCTTGGTAAACCGATAGTATAGCTAAAATCAAAAGTCTGTTGGTCTTGTAATTACACTGTGTGGGTATTGGAATGTTGAAAATAAAAACTTTCAGAGTCTCAGATAAACATACAGAGTTTAGAAAACCTCTCAGAAAATTTTCAAACATACAGCAAAAATCTAAATTAGCGTTACCCGTTTTCCTGCTAAGGGATGTAACTCGTGTCCTCCTTAGTTAATTATGTGACTGACCAGTGAGCTAGACTTTCTATTTCATTCCTTCATTCATTCATTCTTTCCTTTATATATTTCAGTTCCATTCCAGAATGATAATATGAGGTATCCCGAGTCCTCCTCCTCCGTCCAGTTTATTCTGATATTGACCTACATGCGCAGTGGATCTTCTTTTACCGCAGACGTTATACAACATCACCATGATGCTTTTTATTCCTTCGAACCATTAATATCTCTTGTTCATGGAAAATCCTTAGAATATCTAAACGGCACACACAGGTAACAATAGCATTTTATTTAAATGATATTTTAACTTTTTAGGAATTTTAGAGAGTTTTTTTAAACTGTTAGAAAGCCCTTTTTATTTTTTGCAGCTTTTGTGATAGTGACGTCGTACGACGCTTAGTTTTAGTGGATTAAACGAGCCACAGAAGTCTGATAGGATGGTGTTAATAGTTGCTATCAGTGTCTCTTTACAGTCCCTTTATGTCCATAATTTGAGTTCCACCATAGTAAGAACTTCGGCAATGCTAACGGGGCAGACGTACCCACACTTTCAGAACACCTGGTGCCACAACGTTTGTTTAGATTCAGAGAGTCCACATGGCTGATATTGATTTTTCGTTATAAATTATAACCATTACAACCAAGATTACCATGTTTCACTAAAAACCCAGTCAAATTGTCCCCCATTGCACACGCTGTCAGTTTAAAAAGTCTTTTATAAAGTCTATTCCACTACCAGATCACCCTGGAATATGAAACGTGATAGTAAAAAGCAAAACAATTCAAGTAACGAAAAAACTCGTGCAAAATTGCAAGGAAAAATTCGGGAGCAATGAAAGACTAGTAGTGGACTCAATGAGAACTTCCACTAGGTATTTGGAAAAGAGTAAGCAAATAAAATCATTGAACTGTCGACTGTCTCGTCATGAGTTTTTGCTGTGTATTGACAACTAGTGAATAAAGGGAGGGAACTCTTGCTAGCTATTACGGTTGAGATTTACGGACCGACTCCATTAATTCATTTGCCTTCTGTTTCCATGTTAAATCTCGAAATTCATCCTTCTATAACTTTTTCCAGAAATCTCGTTGAATACTTTCCAACATGTCACATGGCCAATTATTTTTCTGGACAAAAATTCAATATATATGACCATGAAAATCTTGAGATAACCAAACTGAAAGTAGACCACTACATTTTATCAACATCCGCTTGACTGTCACTGCACACAAAAACATTTTTTTAAATTACCCTTATCTCACAAAATCTGAAAGAAAATGGAATTTCAGATATCAAATTCTAAATTTAGGTCAAAAATTAGTCCAAAAACTCCAAAGGGCAGAGAAATGAAGCTCGCTAAAAATATAGTAACAATAATTTGCATAAAATGTTTTAGTGGACTCTGACCAGGTCAGCACAGAATTGTTTCGAATGGCGCAAGTGATACATGGTGTGCTCACTTTAAGTATACCTTACAAATACTAAGTTAATTTACCCCTAGTCCGAAAGATCTGCCTCTATTCCAGTCTCTGATAGCTACAGTGAATACTTATATATATATATACTTATATTTATATAAACTTAACTTCTCCCTTAATAATGTACTATTGTGTGGTTTCTTCAAGTTTCTTACCCTAAAGGAAGACCCAAAAATCAAATTTACAAACTTGGCCAAAATGAGTCTTTGTTGATGAGTGGACTTACCTGGTGTCACAATGCTTAGAAGCGTGTATCAATAATTATTCAGTTTAATAGATATATCGTCTGATATAAAGATTCTATTCTTTAGTCACGACACCTGGTAAGTCCAGCTGATCAATATGTACACTTGTTTACTAAGTTTGAGAATGTCCATTCTAAAAGGTAGTATTCCTTCCATCGTATCACAAATACGGATTTTGATTTGGTCTTGATAACCCCGAAGAGGTATGACGAATAGGGATGTGGTTTGGACACGATGTATTCCTTCAAAAACTTATTTAGAAATATATTAACAGTCATATTTTCACCATATAATTTCAGAAACTTTACAAGTGAAACTATTGTAACAGAGAGTTTAAAGGTGCTTGAACGCTGGTATAATTGCGATCTGTATAATATAGATGTTGAAACGATGAAACACATATTCATGTCGTTCGGAATTCACACTAATGAATTTTACCGATGTGTAGGAAAAACAAAACTAAAAACCAACATGACAAAATGTTTGCCGAAACTAATAAAAGACTGTAAAGAATCTAAATTACGGGTTATTAAAACTATACGCGTTGACGTCGAGAACATAATAGAATATTTCAAAAAATTCCCGAACTTTAAAATGATCCATTTAATTCGAGATCCAAGAGGGGTCATGAATTCTAGGATAAAAGTTGAGCCAAAAAAATATGGAAAAAAGAAATTGCCAAATAGTGCTCGGTACTTGTGCCAAACAATGGCGATTGATATGAACAACACGTTTAAATTGGCGAAGGAATATCCCAACAGAGTGACTGTTCTGCATTATGAGGATTTAGCCGAAAACCCTTATTCCACTACGGCAAGACTCTACACCTTCCTGGACTTAAGCATAACGCTGGAGATTTACGGGTACATCTTCCATATAACGGCAGCGGGCACCTCAAATGAAAGAGCGTACGGAGTAGCTAGAAGTAACTCCGCCTCCACCGCCAACAGATGGAAAAGAGATTTAAAATATGATGAAATAAAACAGATTGATGTTGAATGTAAGAATGCTTATCCATTGCTTGGTTATTTACCAGTGACCAACTCAAGCGTTTTAAAAGACACCAGTTCGCTGGCTACTCGCGTACAGTGAAAGATACCAGTGAAATGAAACGGTAATTTCTATTACGTAACAAGTTTTATTGTGGTAACAACTTCTATTGCGGTAACAACTTCTATTGTGGTAACGACTTCTATTGTGGTAACAACTTCTATTGTGGTAACAACTTCTATTGTGGTAACAACTTCTATTGTGGTAACTATTGTGGTAACAACTTCTATTGTGGTAACAACTTCTATAGTGGTAACAACTTCTATTGTGGTAACAACTTCTATTGTGGTAACAACCTCTATTGTGGTAACCAGTTTTATTGCGGTAACAACTTCTA